ATTTGTTCTTTTGAGCCCTTGCTGAATGAATATTAATAGTGGGCCAGAAGAGGACAGTCAAGGAAAGTGACTTGGGTTGGTCAGTTGACAGGCCGTCTAGCTGAGAAGTCTGATTTTATGTTAATGGCTTTCAACTAAAGAAGGATGGATGGACACGAAAGAACCTTTCAAAGATAGTTCATATCTTTTCAAGGCTGGATCAGTCTTAGTATTATAGTCCCTTTCTGATTTCAAATAAATGTACACCTACCTCCCTGTCTTGGGAGCAAAAATATAATAGAGTCCCCATGCTATCATCTGTGTTTAAATTATTTCAGTTCAGTGAGATTTTTGTTACCTTATTTTTAAAAAATGTAATCTGAGCACTTTTTTAGGTATTCTAAAAGAGAGAGTCTATTATCAGATGAATATATTATTCATTTGATTAAAATTACTTAGATAAGAAATTATTACTGTTTATTTTGCTTTCAAACGACTTACTCAACTTTCTATCCGTTTTGCGAAATACCAGTTGTATATGATTTCCTAATGTATCAGAATTTATTATGTAAATAAACCTTTCTAGATTTCTGAACAGTGTATGGTTTGATTTTTATAGGCTTTAATATTATTTCAGTCTGAATAAAGATGAGAAAATATGATAATCAGTTACTTAAAATGTGGCTATTGCTAACTGTAAAGAAAAGAAGGCAGGGCATCAGCTGGGAAATGTTTGAATCAGAAGATACTCAAATGTGTATTCTTGTCCGAAAGAAAACCAGTGACTGTAAGACAAAACAAATTTGATAGCATATGGTATTTTTTGCTCTTGTGTATGCTTTTTGGACAGTCCATTTGATAAAGCTTGAATGGAAAAAATAAAACTGTTTCTATCTGCAGTGGCTCTTGCTGCTCATTACTGAAAAGACATGTGTTTTCGTCTTTTAAATTGTCGAGTACATTTTACCTGTAGTGAATATGCAGAAAACAGAGGTAAAACATTGGCTATGTGAGTCATAATATTTTCAGTGATTGGAATTCCAAATCACTTAGTTACCTAAATTAAAGCATGATGGATTTCTTTCTCAGGAATAAATAAAAGTAAAGTAAACCTCACCTTAAGCAAAGAGTCTGGATTTTCACAAGATAAATTAGGGAAGAGACATTCTTTTACCCAAAGAGGTTCAAAATAAGATTTTAAGTAGCAAACTCAAGTATAATTTCTCTTAAAATGTTTAGTTTTCAGAGAAATTTTCATAACTATCTCATAAAGCAAAGTGTGCTTTAATCATTCATAATCGTCAACAGTATATTTATAGAATACATTCTAAATGTTTTGTCTCTTTACAGAATCCTGGTTGGTTGATAATAAAATGAATCCTGTTTCCCGAGTAATTTAAATATTGGTTATAATTTCCACTGATTTTTTTTTTCTACAAGGGAAATAGCCTTGTTATTTTTCTGTTTGAAATGGACAGTGTTCACCAGAGAACATTTGACAATATAGAAGAGTATATTAGATAAAATAAAAATCACTTAGAACCCCATCACTGCCACTACTATCATGCACATTTTGGTGCGTGTCGTTTCAAACTTTTTTTCTACCTACATGTGGGTATATGTTTTATTTTGAAATAAAAATGAAATTCTGCCATGTATATTTCCAAATTTTTTATCAATTTAATATATTTTTGAACATCTTAATTTACTGTGAAAATGAAAATAAATGAGGGAGAATAATCATTTAAATAGCTGCATAATATTCTGCTGTGTCTGTAACCTTTTGAGAAAGGAGGTTTAAGACTTGAGCCCCTCCTAATGTGTAACGGGGTTGTGACTGACGGACAGTAATAGTTTTTACCAGTTCTTTGTAACACCTGACAACATTGTTTTTATTCCTCATTTCCTGGTTTCCTTGTCTTTTCCCTTACTTGAAAATTTTGAAAATGTGTAGCTTTTAAAACTTAGTTCCCCTCCCTCCTGTCAACTAAATATTTTCTGAGAGACCTATGCTATTTTTACCGTTTGCACACCTCTAAAATTTCCAGTTAGAAAACGTCTTTATTTAAAAGCTTTAAGTTATTTAAAACAGGTAAGATTCTGACTCATTGTTTCTTTGCAGAACAGAGGTCTTTAAAATGAGTACCTGGAAAGGGTGGGTAACCATACCACTATTACTAATTTAGCTAATTTTTTTTTTTTTTACTTTTCAAAATACATTGGCTGTTTTATTTTCG